AGGGTGCCGTCGGCCAAGCAATGTAGGCTGGCGACCCCCAGGGGGAGGGCCTTCTCTGTGGGTGCCCCCACCCTCTGGAACGAACTACCCCCCGAGATCCGGATGATTCCGGATCTCCTTACTTTCCGCCGCGCCCTCAAGACATGGCTTTTCCAGCAAGCGGGCCTGACCTAGGGAGGATTTTAGGTAGGGATGATTTAAAAGTAATTTTAATCGGAAACACAGCTGGCAATATTTGGTTTTTAATTCGGCTTTTATTGGGGTTTTTATTTTTGTATTTCTGTATTTTTTGTATTTTGTGTATAGTATTTGTTTTTTAATATGCTGTGAACCGCCCTGAGTCCTATGGGAGAAGGGCGGTATACAAATTAAAATTAACATAACATAACATAACATTTATTGTGTGGCTAGATTAAAGCCAAAAGAATGTGATCTTGACAGTCAAAAGCCTTTGTTTGTATAATAGAGAAAATATAAGCATCTTTTTTATAATCATGGTGAAATGATAGCACCAAGTTGGAAGTGACTGAATAACTGAAAAATGACAAAGGGCTATGGAAAATTTTGGGATTCAAATAACTTTGAATTTGAGGCTCTCCTAACAGTTACTTGGAAACATGCTATTTCAGGTTCAAGTTCCCAAAATTATCAAAATGATTGAAACAACACATAATGAATGCAGAACAGCCATTCTGAACTCAAAGCAAACCATTTTGATTTTAAATGTGTTTGCAGATTCCTTGCAAAAGGAGCAACTTGTTATTCTATCACAAGAATCATATTAGCTTTAGCAGAGATCTTTAGTACAATGTCAGAACTAGGACAAAAAAAACCTGGCAAAGAAAACAGTAAAAAAATTACCAAAGGACTAGTAGACCTGCTTGCTCACTGGTTCTTTAATTATAGTTTACTGAACAAATTACATTTGGCTTAGCTAAAACATGGAAAGCTATATATCACAATCTGTAAACCACTATGATTGGATTCACCACACCAAAATCAAATAAAACACGTTTTGGTTTTCCATGTTGGCTGAATCAGACTATAAAATAAAGTTGTTATAATTAAAAGTTGTTTTTAGATTCTATATAAGTACTTTGCTTTGCACACACTATACACTATAAATTTAGCTATAAATTTGCAGCAGTGAGTGAAATGACAAAGATTCTAAACAAATGGGAGGGGCAGCTAATTTCACAAATACTTTTCCCCATTCCTGATAATACCTGTTGAAACAAGCACCAGAATTAAAAACAAAAGAAAAACAAACAACTGAATACTTTAGGGAAACTGCACTGGCAACAAATATAGACCAAAGCCTAACTCCTGCCAGGTGTACTAAGGACAAATAAAAAGTACAAAAGATGTAGCTAGAGTGCATGATTAAAATGACGTGCACACAGTTACTGCATATCAAGTCAAAGATTGAGGCATTAGATAGGAACTAGGCAAATGAAATGCCAACATCAAATAAAATAGTTTAAAGTTTCAGAAAAATTCTCTGCAATTTTTACACAGAAGTTTAGGAGAGAATCATCAAACAGGCAATTCAATAATAGGGAGACCAGCTTTTTTTTCTTTTTCTTTTTTTAAAGTAATCAGGGTTCTGCATTATTTCAACAAGTCCTTACAAGAGCTGCCGGATATTGCTCCAGTCCACACACATAGTTGGAACTTTTGTGCTGCAGTGCTCATGGAATTTGTAACCGCAGGTTTGGCATCGGAATCCATTTAGTAAAAACTTCTGACAGATGTCACAGTATGCAAGCTTCAGAAATGTTTTCCGTGCCTAGAAAACAATTGCAATTGTTTGTCACTTATGTTGACAATTATGAAGAGCAAACAACTTTCAAATAAATGTGTTTTCAAAAACTAACTTTAGTTTATATTTTCAAACGGTTTCAGTATATTTTCATGGGCACTGATCTTTTATAACAATCAGCAAATTCTAGCATTGTGATCGAATTTTAATAAGCACACAGAAACAAATACATACTCAAACAGTTTTCTATCTGTTTGTATGTATATCATACAGAGAAGAAATTCTCAAACTTTTCTTTAATTCCTCCCCCTCCCCAAAAAATTAAGTACATATTGCATTTGCTCACAGTTACCTTTTCTTCTCACTATGTACCATATCAATTTCAAAGATTCTTTGAAGTTGAACATACCCAAGGGGACATAAGTTTCAGGGAGGCTAAGCTGTGCTAAATTTACAGATAGATTAAAAAAAAATACTTTCGAGTATCTTTATATATCCTAGCCCAATGAATGCATTACTAAATGAGAAAGGATCATGAAATTGTGTGTTCCAATCTTTATAAACTGATGACAAGGGCTTTTACATCATACAGAGAACTACACATTTCATACAGAGGATTGCATGGTCAGCAAATTTTAGTGTCTTTCTTTACAGCTTTTGCACCAATTTTCAGAAGTTTCAGAAAAAAGAGCTGAAGCTGGCATGTCCCACGCTCCCTTCATACTTTCATTTTGTAATGCCTGTATTTGATTAGTGAGAGTGTTCTGTTACTATCATTAGACCAAGATTGGAAGAAGCATTAAGCATAGCAACTGCAATGATTCAGGTGCCTCAAGATTGGAAGAAGCATTAAGCATAGCAACTGCAATGATTCAGATGCCTAGAGGATCATAATATAACAAAAATTAGTGTATTTTCTGCCTCTTTCTTCGTGCAAGGAAGGTCAGAATATCTTTGACTACTAAGGTATATGTATATGTATATATGTATATGTATATATGCACCAGGAAAACCCATTCACAAATTTGCTGCTAAGAACTATAGAGGAGCATGAAGAATGGAAAAAATATTAAGTGGTTAAGAAAATTAGTTTGTGTTATTTCCATTAGTTAAAAAATAACTTTCGAACAATGTAGACACTGATGCACGGATCAAAGGAGGAACTCTGTAGTTCATCCCTGACTACTTTAGGTATAAAATCTAACTAATGTCTTAATGGAAATTAATGGACATTAATGGACATTAAAAAAGGAGACTTTTTAAACTGCACTTGATAATTCTTAATCTTGCAAGGAAAAATGTCCAATGTAAGCAAGAAAAAACTGTAGGAAAGAAAAAGACAATATACTACAAGACTAGTGAACAAAACTGTTCATTTTATATCAATATTGGAAAGACCAGAAAACTCTATATTATAGCTTTCTGATTTACATGTTTATTTTGTAAGAAGACAATAGGATAAAATCTGTATAGAAATCTAGCAGCATTGCTTTCCAAAAAGCATTTCCAGTTTTATACATACAAAAGATCAACCTACGAAGTTATGTGTTGTGAGTGGAACATGATCAAGGAAGTCAACTTGTAATTCTTCTCCAATCAAGGATGCAGCATCTGTACCCCAATCCAATCGTGCTTTTTTACTACAAAAATAAATAAAACCTCTTAAATATCTGCAAGCACTTCACTTTCCAAAGATGTTAGAATTATGCAAAAAACCATTTGGAAACTTCATTTATTTCAGATAATTGTTAGAAACAGAACTACCCTAAGATACACATGATAATATATTTTACCTTCTAGGCTGAAATATTCAAAAATTGCAAGCAACAAGACTTAATATTATACTTGTCCGTGGATATCTGCTGGGAGCTCAAAGGTGGCACGTGATAAAACATATGAAACATCATCATACAAATACCATCATTGTATAATTAGGTCAGCCATCAGTAGAGTATACAAACACATAATGTTTGCACTTCCGTACTGATGTCATTGCATCTGTTGTTATTTTGGCATCTTGACTAACTTTGTTAAAGATGGTGCTGCAGCAGCTATATAACCACTTGAACCTTAAGTTATCTGGAATACACATTCAGGAGAAGAAAGGAAACTGACATCATCCATGAATTGGGCTTAATGTGGCCTTCAGTATAAGCCTTAGAGAAGTTATCCTCTCCAGCAGCCTGGTGCAGAATTATTTGATCTCGTCCTATAAAAGGCAGAAGAATACCTAAAGCAAGAAACATAGCCGATTTGTAAAAAAAAAAAAAAGAGTCCTGTCTTAAGAGAAGAATCTGTAACTGCTATATGAAATGAAATATACTAAATATTATCTTAAATAAACTCATGGGAAGAAATTATTTATATTCCACTTAATTCAAATTCTTACCCTTTGTGTTGTAATCGAAAAACAGCACAGCATTCTGGCTGCAGACCTCTAACTTTGAGTGCTTTCATAAGACAGTCATGAAGAGTCATTCCATTACGTACATTGACCTGTTAAGCACAAAAATAAAGTTTTTCTAATTCCAAAAGTGTAAACTATTATTTAGCTTCTTAATCTTCATATTTCAATTATACAGCAATTGTTTTTAAACTTTGGAAGACTCAAATCATTAGACAATTAGCCAGATGCCTTAAATGCTGGTAAATGCTTAAGTTCAATGCAGCAAATAGAACTGAAATTTCACCTCCTTACTATTGTCAATTCCCCCCCCCCCTTTTTTTTTTTCATCTATCCCGGTAATTCTGTAATGCATTTACTTTGGAAAAACTAAATTCAAGCAACTTACAAAATGCATTGAAGATATTGACTTCTGATCACAATAGGGACCAGAATTTCTGTTGCTAAGCAAGGCAGTTTTTAAGTGAGTTATGCCTAATTTTACAGCCTTTTTTGTCATGATTATAATCACTGCAGTCATTAAGTGACTTTAGTTTCCCCCAATGACTTTGCTTATCAGAAGCTGACAGGGAAGATCGCAAATGGCAATAACGTGACTATGGGACACTGCAAACATTGTATATTCATGTTGGTTGCCAAACTTCCAAATTTTGATTACATGTCCATGGGGATACTGCAATGGTTCTAAGTGTGAGCACCAGTCAAAAGTCATTTTTTTTCAGTGCCATTGTAACTTTCAAGTTGAGGACTACCTGTAATTACAATATAGAAGCAACTCTGCAAGAGATTTACTTCTCAACAGAGAGACACACATTGTTCATTATGTTTTTTAGGGGTTTAGTTACATTGGTACTATAGCTGCTTTTATTGATTGTTCTTGGATCTAATTATTTTTGCAGGATGGAACCAGGATGAACTGGAGGAAGAAACTGAACAGAGATAGAACATCAGAAATAAAGCATTATTTGATTGGGACATAGGATCATTGCATCCAGACTTTTGTAGAACTATAGTAACTATTGGGATTACTTGCACCTAGATATTGACAAGTCCAACTGTTTTTTTTTAAATCTCTTGAAGAATTCCTGTCACACAAAGTGACCAACTCATTTGAAGACTGATTTATCAACCTCACCTAGTCTCAGAGACACAAATTTGTTGACATCTGCCTCAGTTCCATCATATCTGGATTATTGCAGTATATTCTACCAAAACCAACTTCAGGGAGAACTTGAAAACTACAACTGGCCCAAAATGTAGCAGCCCAAATGTTAGCAGACACTGCACTGAGAATGTAGGACTGATCTTCTAAAATAGCTACTGTGCTTTTAAATTTGTTTCTAGGCTACAATTCACACTGCTACAGATGATCTCCAAAATCCTAAATGGTTTATCATCTATACATTTAAAGGAACCCCTTTTTCAATCTGGACCTAATGCCTATTGAAACTGTATTTGAAGGCCTTTAGTTTATTTTGATGAATTGTTTGGTGACCTTTCTAAGCGAATGCACCTAAATTCTTGGATTACATTCACTTGGAAATGATCTCATTTCTTCACTAAAATCCTTCTAAAAGTTGAGAAAATCTTCAGTTCTAGGAAGCTAAATTTTCTGATAGATTGATATATACTGATGTACTGATTTAACCCCTTGTTTTTTTACTGCTTATTACAGCTGTTGTTGCACTGGAATTTATTCTGCTCTTTGGGGGCCTCAAGCACCCATTTAGGCAGCTTAAAGCACCAAGTGTGACTTTTGTGTTAAGAACTAGGAGAGTAATGGTAGAGAAATAGGAGCACAAGCCCTCTATAAACTAAAACGCTCACATTCCCATATAAAAAGCTCCAAAACTAGAGAAAATGGATCAAAATCACGCCACCATAATTTAACAACAAATTGTCTTAATTCTGTCCAAAGTCCAATTTTAGGTAAAAATAATAAAACACAGGTGATAATACAAGCAAAGGACCAGTGCCGGTGAAACATGTTTATCCACACATTAAAATTATCTTAAATTTCCCAAATCACTGAAAAACGGGTTGAAACATGCTGACTGTTCTCTTCTAGTGATATGACAATGACTTCCTAAATCCATCCAGATGAGTGAGTTGCTACCCCACATCAAGGACAAAACCAAACTAGAACTAAGGAGAAATTTTCTGACAGAACAATCAGTGGAATGGCTTGCCTTTAGAAGTTGTGGGTGCTCCTCATGGGAGCGTTTTTAAGGAAGAGATTAGACTACCATTTGTCTGAAAAAGTATAGGCATTTCCTGCTTGAGTAGGGGGTTGGACTACAAGATCTCCAAGGTCCCTTCCAACTATGTTATTCTGTTATTTTAAATCAATACTTTAAATCTACTGTATGTATATTGTTGTAAACTGTCCAAAATTGTATATAGAATAGACAAAATACAAATTCTATGAATTAATATTGTTAGCATGGATTCCTACCAAATTCACAATTTTAGATTTTGATTGAGAGGAAACCTGGTAACTGTTAATCCTAATAAGCAATTATGCAGATTAAGGCAACCAAGGAAAAAGAAAAATATCCCTGGAAGAAGGGAACTAGACATGAGAGGTTTCTGTTTCTGCCTTTTAAAAAAAAACTCACAGAAGACAGTCCAGTAGCTTTACTCTTATATTGGGTTTCTTTACA